AAATAGATACACGAGGAGTGATTTCGAGTTATCGGATGACGAGAAGGAGTGCATCAAGAGCCGTGAGTTGTTGATTTTATGGGATTGTGGGCAGTTTTGTGGGGAAATCTGGGTAGTTTTGTGGGAAAATCTGGGCAATTTTGTGGGGAAATCTGGGTAGTTTTGTGGGGAAATATGGGCAGTTTTGTGGGGAAATCTGGGCAGTTTTGTGGGGAAATTTGGGCAGTTGATAGTGTTTGAATATTGTTTGAAATACGGAATATTTTGGAGTTGGTGATTGAATCGGTTGATCTTGATTGTTTTGCGTTAAATTGATTGAAAGATGAATTGAATTCCAGAGTCGATGCAAGTGAAATGTATCGCGAAATACGGTGAGCAGTTCTGCAGCAGTATGTTGTCGGTGTGCTCGTCGATGCTGTCGATTCCGTGGAAGAACGATTCGGTGCAGAGATTACCGCCTGGCATTGTGGGGTGTGCGCAGACGAGTGCGTGGTTTGCTGGGATTTTGTGGTTTTTTGCAGTAGTTTCATGAGTTTTGATTGATTTTTCAAGGGAAGGACATCGGAATTTTGGTTGTTTTTGGAATTTTGCAGTGTTGAAATGGTTTTTTGAGTGAGTGTCTCGTTTTGGTGCGAATTTTGAGGGTATTTTTTGAAAATTTCAGCCGATCCGGTGGTGCAATGCCGTGCCAAATACTCGGAGTCGTTCTGCAATCGGCTTGGCGCGGCGTGTTCGAAGGTGACAGGCACGGACATCCCGGCGTTCTCACGCGGTGGTGGAGAGTATCGACTGCCCGAGGCAATCTCACAGTGCATAGCGCAAGGTTGGTGGGATTTATTAAGGGTTTAGGCGTGGAGATTCTGGGCAATTTTGTGGGTAATAAGAAGAGTTCTGGGCAGTTTTTTGAGAGGAAATTGGATAGAATGAACAAGCAAGTGTTGAGGTTGTGGTATGAAGTATGGAGCAATAATCTTGTGTGGATACTTGAGATATCTCGTATCTCGGGTTTGCCAAAGTTTTGGAGAATCTTTTGGGCAATTTTTGAGTATAAAAATGATATTGCAGAGAATATCGTAGCGATGTGCTACGCATCAAAATGCTCACAGCAGTGTGACGGATGGCGTGTGACGTGCAATATCAACGGTGGGATGGCGCAATTGACACCTGAGCAAGTGACGTGCTTCGAGAAACGTTAGTTTA